ATTTTGCAGTGCCTGAGTAGACACCATGAGTTCATCTATCTGGAATCAGCTCTAATTGAGGTAAATTGGTCGGAAGGGTGTCACGGGTTCTTAAACTTGAACATCACACCATGTGACTGGAGGGAGTGTACTGTGGCGGACAGGAGTCACTGGGGCAGCCAAGGGTTGGGGCTGTCATCTCCGCTCTTCTCTCGTCTCTCTCCGCTTCGGAAGCATTGAGTGAGTGACAAGTCAGAGTCAGGAATAAGCCAGTCCGCTTTCCTCCTTAGCCATGCCTCAAGCTCTTGCCTCTAGAATTTGGAACAGTATGAAGCGTAAATTTACATCCTGAACATTTTCTCCAGGTGCACAAGGGAGTTCATGGGTTTGTTAAAGATAAGAGCGGAAAACCAGTCTCGAAAGCCGTCATTGTTCTCAACGAAGGAATCAAAGTGCACACTAAAGAGGGGGGCTACTTCCACGTACTGTTGGCCCCAGGTTTCCATAACATCAATGCCATTGCCGAAGGATACCAGCAACAACATTCACAGGTGAGGAACTCAAAACTGAGGAGTACCATGGACAGGCGTGTGTTTAAATGGATGTCTTACTTCCATTTCATTTTGAAGCGTTTGTTAGAAAGCTTAATAGATGTAAGGAATATAGTTTGTTTGTTTTTTAAGTGTGACCACCTCTTGATTATTATGCTAGCTTTCTGTTTACTTTGGGTGGCAAGTAGTCATCTCCCTGGCTTGTGATAGGCCACAGGAGCATGGCGGGCACTCTCTGTTTCCATAAACTGACTCTGACCCTTTGTCCTTGCAGGTCTTTGTGCATCACGATGCAGCGAGTTCCGTGGTAATCGTCTTTGACACAGATAACCGGATATTTGGTTTGCCAAGGGAGCTTGTGGTAACTGTATCAGGTAAAGAAATCTTAGTGTCTGCCAGGTGAAGTTCAAACCAGTCTCGACACTGGTGTAAGGCGGGCTCATCCACAACCGCCTGAAGCTAGTCCTGCTTCTTCTCTGTCTCCTTATCTAAGCCTGGCTTGCCTGGGGCTGTGCTCTTCCCTGTAGCCTCAGGGCTGACTCCTCACTTTTCCAGGTCTGTTCTCAGATGTCACTGCCACAGAGACCATCCCTGGTGACATGAGTGAAACAGCGGTTCTCAGCCTTCCTGCTGCCGCGCATCCCTGGTGACATGAGTGAAACAGCGGTTCTCAGCCTTCCTGCTGCCGCGCCCCTTTCATACAGTTCCTCATGTGGTGGTGACCCCACCACCACCACAAAATTATTTTCATTGCTACTTCATCACTGTCATTTTGCTACTGTTATGAATCAGGCAACCCCTGTGAAAGGGTTGTTTGACCCCCAAGGAGTTGTGACCCACAGGTTGAGAACCGCTGAGCTGAAAGACTACTCCCAGCATGAACTCTACCTCGCTTTTCCCCATGATACTCTTTATCACTAACTGACATAAGCTATTTTTCTATATTCAGCCTCTCCGACTAAACTATGTTATTTGCTGTCGAATCGTCTCCGATTCATGGCGACACCAGGGTTTTTTTAAGGCTGTGACCTTTCTGGAAGCAGATTACCAGGCCTTTCTGCCCAGATCCTTCTGGGTGACTTCAAACTGCCCATCTTTCAGCTAGTTGTGAGGGCCTTAACTGTTTGTGCTACCCAAGAACTCCCAGTAAACATAGGCTCTATCCAAAATACAGTTTATGTGTATCCCCAGAGCCTAGAACTGTGGTTTGTAAATAGAGGTTCTCAACAATAAATGAGTAATTCACTGTCTATAAAGATCATAAGTCCCTTGGACTGTAATTTATATTAGTTCGGTTCCCTTAGGATCCCAAAAGGAGGCAACATTTGTGTCGTTGCTTGAATTACTGAAAGGTTAAGGAGGGTAGTGGTGACTAATAAAATTCTTTGTATCACACAAAGTTGTTTTGGACTTCAGGCAAAATAAATAAGTTTTACTAAATGGTATGCAAGGGAGAGATCCTAGTTGAGAGTGAAGAGTAAATTGAAAACATGATCAAATCCTAGAGCCTGTTTTGGAGTGTTTATTCTTAGCTTCAATCAGATAAAGTGTGACTAGCTTACATAGCAACCGGGCTTCAGCCATACCTTGCTCTGCCATACATTCGCTGGTGTGAAATTTCTTATGATTTTATTATTATGTTATTCAAATCCTTATTTTGATCGTTAACCATGTATATGTACAGATCATTTAAAATATGTGAGGCCTTCTGAGTGAGATGAAAGTTTACTGGGAAGGAAAAGTAGAAGAAAAACAATAGGCTGAGTATCATTTCCTTGTGAAAAGGGGGGAAGAATAACTGTTACATACATTTTTAAGTTATCTAGTGCTACTGTAACAGAAATACCACAGGGGATGGTTGAACCAAACAGAAGTGCATTCTCATAGTTTAGGAAGCTAGACGTCTGGGTTCAGGGTGCCACCTCTGAGTAGGGCAGGCTTTCGCTTCTGTTGACTCTGGGGGAAGGCATTTGTCTCCTTTCAATATCTGTGGGCATGGCATCCCTAGCTACCATGTTTCCCTGAAAGTAAGACATCCCCCGAAAATAAGACCTACTTACAGTTTTGCCTCTTGCTGAAATATAAGGCATCCCCCGAAAACAAGGCTCCCCGAAGTGACTGTAACTCGACGCTGGACTGTAGCAGCGGGCGCCGTCGCACAGTTCACTGTTGGCTGCACCGCAGCCGGAGCAGACAGGAAGTGTGAGGTCTCTTAATAAAACAATAAATGTGTACCGTATTCTTCTTCATGGAAAAATAAGATAGCCCCTGAAAATAAGACCTAGCGCATCTTTGGGAGCAAAAAATAATATAAGACACTGTCTTATTTTCGGGGAGACAGGGTAGGGGGTTTCCAGCACCAGTCTCTAGGTCCAAAGGAATTTGTTTGGCTTCCGACCCTTCTTGGTGGTAATAGGTTTCCCTTTTGTGCTCAGTTCTCTCCCCTTTTATCTCGTAAGATGAAAGGTGATGTAGGCCACACCCCTGGAACCGTGCCTCATATCGGATCAGGCTGTGACCTGATGCAGAGTGTTGCATCACACCCCAATCTCCTGACGTCAGATCATGCCACGGGGGCTGGTTCCATAACTTCATAATGGCCATTTCATATCATTCCAGAACTGCCAAACACTGAGGTTAATGGCCCAGCCAAATTGACAAATAGTTTGGGGCGACACAATTCAATCCATGACCTACACATGCATGAAGGAAGATCTGGAGAAATGGCCAGGCACTAGGGTTATTAAACGTGATCTCTGGGTAATAGAAATGTGGGCTGTTTACATGGTTTGTACCTTCTAATTTTTGCATATTCCCCACGTACTACTCCTGTAATAATGAGAGGTGGTTTCACGTGCATGAAATAACAGAGGAGCGCACTGTAAAATTGCCATTTGGAACTGCTGCCTGTTACACTCACCAGGCCACTCACATGGTGCTTATTGTCTTTCAGGTGCCACCATGTCAGCGTTGGTCCTAACAGCTTGCATTATTTGGTGCATCTGCTCCATCAAGTCCAACAGACATAAGGATGGCTTTCATCGGCTCAGACAGCATCATGATGAGTACGAGGATGAGATTCGCATGATGTCAACTGGCTCAAAGAAATCCCTCCTAAGCCACGAGTTCCAGGATGAAACAGACACCGAAGAGGAGACATTATATTCCAGCAAACATTGAAACAGACCACAGCCTTGCCTATCTCCCAGCAGAAGTACCACAGAAAACTCCAGTTCCCTTTGGGAGACCAGCATAAAGGAGAGAGACTGTCTTGCTTTTTCAAAGAGCTTTTGGGAAGTTAACTTGCTAAATCTGTATTCTCGTGAATTCGTTTGGCAGTTTTGAACTTCCCTTCCTTAAAGTACTCTTAGCTTTTAAGAAAATATCTGATTTCTATTTATGCAGCAGAGATGGGACAGCCACTTGGTTTTTTTTCTTCTTAATTTAAGACGAGCTGTTTGGGGCTTATATAATCACTGCATAAAGCCAACTAATGGATGTTGTATTTCGCACAACAAGTGTTTACTAGTGGCTTTGCCGCCCCCCACCCCCCACCCTGGGGTCCTTATTTTAAATGGCCAAAAGAATCCAGCAACATTAAGGCAGGGACTGCAGTCAGAATCTGACATAAAGCTTTAAAAACCTGAGATTTTTCTCAGCCTACTGAGGAGTACTTTTCTCTAGTTATTACATAGTTGGAGTCTTATTATTCAGGTTTAATGGAGGTTGAGTTGATTTGAAACATACAACATTAGGAAATTAATGAATAGGCTTCCGCTTTGGCTTGCTACCTGTTCCAGGGTTAGATCAGAAATGGCGGGCTGTGCTCTCAGCCGTATTTCACTACCTCTCTTGTAAGGTTAAGCAGAGTTCTAAATCCACCCCGACTCCTCCCCCCACCCGTGAAGGGAGAACCCATTGACTTTGTTGTGAAAAATAACCGTGCATTGGAATGTAGCTGAGAGGAGGGTCTAGCCTCAGTGAAAACTCGTGTTGCCTAATCTTTTAACTTGGTATCAACCCACAGGTGCTGCTTTTATCTGTGAAGCACTAGTGTATGCAAGGAAGGCCTAATTCTTTACTACTTCCTTAATTTGAACCCTTTTCTAGGTTATACACTTCTGGTTTTCAGATATGCCCAGCAATCTACAAGATCTGAATCCACCTGAAAACCTCGTGAAGTATAGAAGAGTCCTACTTGCATCTTCTTAACCTACATTTGAACATGAACTACCTACACTTCATGACCAAGCCCAAGCCTGAAATCCCATAATCTTGGTGAAAGGCGTGGCCAGCCTGGTTCACAAACAAAGGCTTCCATAAGTAATTGGTTTCCTTGTCCTAAAACGGACAGTCTCCTTTTGTTAAAAACAACCACTTTTGTTAAAAATTCCGTTTAGAGCATTTAAACACAGCTCTCTCCATTTAAAGAAAAGAAAAGAAAGAAAACTCTGGACTGCTGGTGTGAGATAACCCTGAAAATGCCTGAACGATTTGCATTTCATGGTGTCTGTTGAATCATGCTGTTCGATGAAAACTATGCTCTTTGTAATTATGAGTCTCACCAATGATCTAATGGTTTAATACCGTTGTTTTAACAGCTAAGTTGCTGCTTGTACTGAATCAGGAGATGGAAGGACTTTCCATTTCTATCCAATAATGTAATCAAGTCATCCCAAAGTTCATGTCACTCACCTAGTTCATTCCTGATGAAGCTTTCCAAAAAGAGAGAGAGCTGGGGTTTAGCAGACATAAAGAGGCCAAGGCACTTGTTAATGAAGACGAGGATTCCTTGATACATACGCTGATGGGTTGAGTGGTTCAAAGTTAAGCCATTGTAGTATTAATCCTGGTAACTGCCATTCTAAATTCTGCGACACACACGCACCGCCACACAACAGCATTTGTGGGGGTGTTGTTAATGAAATATACATGTTTTAATTTGTTCTCATATTTTACATTTTCTCTAAGGGGGGTAGTGTGGAGGTGTTACTCTTTTTCAGCTTTACTTTTCAGAGTGTTAGCCAGAAAACCCACGAGGGGCTCCTTTGGGACATTTCCACTAGAGATGAAACAAGTTGATGTGACAGTGTGTAGGAACATTGGTCTTCACTGGAGAAAGATACCTTTAAATTCTTTAACTGTACATCTCAGTGTCTGGTGGTCTTGCTTTTTAAGCATACATAAAATTTGTTTAGAAAGAAACACGCAAATGGTTTTTAGTCATTTCTCTTGAAAGCAAAAACCAAACTCTATGATAGTTCTCGAATCTTTCATGAATCTCAAAATAGTGCATTGTGCTGGAAAACGAGGCCGCTCAACCCATGTTACCTATTAACATGAATGTACTGGATCCACGACTACTAAGTCTATGTTCTCAGCCTTGCTCTGTTATCTGTGGCTCTAATCTAACTAAATTAGATCATACTAACCGCCTAGACACTGAAGCCATATGGGATGGGGAAAGCATTTCTTCAGTGTTTTCTGGAGGCTTTCCATTTCCTTGGAGGCATGGAGGCGAGTCAGTATCACAGTATTAAGAAATCTGCCCACGTTTGGATGTTGCCTTCCTTTACTCACAAGGCATGGTTTTTGTCCCGGTGGTAATTTTGTAAGCCTTTTCCCTCCCAGCTCCTTAATAAAAGCAAAGTGATTGAAGAGGTGATTCACAAAGTGTCTGCCTGTGTAAATGTTCTTGTATTGATATGGAATTCAATAGGATGGGCCCGAGTAATTTCAGAAGGAAAGACCCTTCCATTTTGATGTGTTTTGCAGAGTACACTTAGGTAGTGATTAATTGGGATTCTATCCAACTGAGGAATGCTTCAAATTCTCCCTGAAGAGAATTCATCTTCGAACTTAGTCAACCTCCTGAAAAAAAATTTATTGTATACTTGGCCCAGGGTGGTAGGTTGGTTTGTTAATGAATATGGAACTTAAAAGCTAATTATGCGTTAACAAATATATCCAAAGGGGCTTCAGAAAGGTCACAGAAAAATGAAGTCGAAAGATAATGGACTTTTTTTCATGAACAATTTGAAGTTCCCCCACTATGCCTGAGTGTATTATGTGCCTAAACTAATAATACCAAGTCATTCAGTAATCGTCATCTTCCTCTCCATTTCCAGTTATTCTCAGCGTGAGTTTTATCTTCTTGTTTCCAGGAATGCACTTGCGCCAGGTCTTGGGCCTGCTGTGTTTCTTAAACGCTTCTTGGCACTATGAATAATACTACAGTCTGAAGGTTCTCTGATGGAACTGCTTTAAACTGTAGCAATTCGACATTTCCTCTCCTGGCTTGCCTTATTGTTTGTTATTACTATAAACTCCATTCGAATTGATGTTCAGTCGCCTTCTATGTACCCATGGTTTCATACTACCAGTGGCTCCTTGGGTCTCTGATGTAGGAGACTTGTTTTAGTTAAAGCCGTTGTTGGTAGGGTGATTTGGGTCCTTGATTAATGCCAATAGAATGTGCATTTCCAGTTTGTGAGGGAATCATACCCAACCACCAGCTTTCCTATTTTTAGCAGCAAGTAACTAAACTTCTATTTGATCTTCAGAATCTTGCTCTGGTGGGCTTTAAGCTATCAGAAGATATTATGAAATTTGGAAATTAGACCAGTTTGAAATAATTGGTAAATTGAAATAATTGGTGAAAATTATGTCAAACATAGGACTATGATTTCTATGAATGGCATAACATGAATGTACTACCTACATTATTTGCTGGCCAGACTGTGGTTTTTCTGGAGGAATGATATATATGGTATTTTTATACAATTCAACTTTTCACGTCTTGGTTTTCTCAAAATGACACTCCCCAGCTCCACGGCAATCTTTAGCAACGTAAAGTGTGTGCCTGGCGCCTGTTCATCTCAAGTGCTTCCCTTCTTTGGTTAATTTCATGCAGCGTGCCTTCAAAATAAAAATTTTAAAAGGGATTTAAATGACGTCAAATAGTAGTTTTAAAAAGTCAATCTGTCTAATACATGTGAAATCTAACTGTAATGCAGTTCTTTTCTGTTTTTTATATGTAAACAGATCTAATCCTGTATAAAAGTTATTTTATGATGTTTGTCTTTCATTGTGTTTTGTCTCATACTCTTTTCAAAAGCAGTAGATCAGAAAAAAAGTTTTCGTTCTCATTTGGAAGGTATATGCTCCTTAATTTTTTAGTATGCTTTTCTTCTTCTCCTATAGTGCGGAAATACAAGGCAGCTTTTAAAAGTTTGTGGGAACAACTAGAATTAAAAAATCTATAAACTTTATCTCTCAACATACCGTAAGCTCCATCAAGGTCAACACGCTTTTGTAAGCCATGATACCCACCATTTAGGCCATCCTTAAAGACCGCAGGGGCTGGGAATGTAGCCATGTCAAATGCGGTCTATTTGTTTTATGTTAAACAAAGAGAAATCGTTGTTACGTGCATTGAGTCTGCTCCACCTACCAACCATGAGGTCCTTCTCCAGTATGTTAGATAAAGTCTCGCCTTTCCTCTCAGGAGCCTTCCAGCTGTCCTCGTTCCAAAATTGGGCTGCTTGTTATATTGGCAGTTCATGGTACTTTTCACTGTTCTTCGCCAACGCTATAGTTTAAATGTATCAATTTCTCTGTCTTTCTTATTCAATGTCCATCGTTTACATGCATATAAGGCGATTGAAAATACCATGGCTTGGGTCAGGCGCACCTTAATTCTCAAAGTAACATCCTGCCTTTTCAACACTTTAAAGAGGTCTTGTGCAGCAGATTTACATAATGAGCAATGTGTTGTTTGATCGCTGCTTCCATGAATTTTGTGGATCCAAGCAAGGTAAAATCCTTAACTTAAATCATTTATCATGATGTTACTCTGGGTCTAGTTGTGAGGATGTTGGTGTTCTTAAATTGAGAAGTACTGAATGTACTTCAGCATACTGAAGTCTGCTAATCTTGATTTTCATCAGCAAGGACATCAAGTCCTCCCCACTTTCAGCAAACAAGCTTGTGTCGTCTGCATATTGCAGGTTAATAAGCCTTCTTCCCATCCTGATGTCACATTCTGATACAGAATCATCCTTCATATAAGCCAGTTTTTCTAATTATTTGCTCAGGATCCAGGTTGAATAAGTGTAGTAAGAAGAACCTTGAAGTAGACCTTTCCTGATTTTTAAGTCAGTATTTCATTGTTCACGCAACTGCCTCTTGATCCACGTACAGGTTTCACATAAGTAAAATTAAGTGTTTGAATTCCCGTTCTTCTCAAGACTATCCATACTTATGATCCACACAGTTGAATGCCTTTGCATAGCCAATGAAACATAAGTAGACATCTTTCTGGTATTCTCTGCTTTCAGCCAAGAGCCATATAACATCAACTATGATACCCCTTGCTCCATGTAGTCATGAATCCAGCCTGAACCTCCTTGTCAATATACTGCTGTAACTTTTGCTAATCTTGAGCAAAATTTTACTTGCATGTAATATTATTATATTTTATAATTTGTGCATTCTCGTGGGTCACCTTTCTTTGACAAATTTGTACCCTTTAAAAAATCATAGTTCCCTTTCAAAGTTTTCAATATTGAAAACAAAAATGAATTCAGAAGGAGTCAAATCATAACTGTAAGGTGAATGCTTGATGATTTTCCATCAAAACTCTTGAAAAATTGCCCTCATTTGATGAGGACTGAGCAGGCACATTGTGGTGGAGAAAGACTGGTGAGGTTTTCCCAGGTGGTTTTCTTCTAAACCCTTGGCAACTTTGTTAAGACACTCCAATAATCAGATATCACTCTGATCCTCCAGAAAATCAACAATCCTTGAGCATTGCTAGTCTGACATTAGCCCATATGTCCAATCCCAATCTATAAATTCCTCTTCAGACTCAAAACACATGCAATGACACTGAATGCAGGAAGATCACAGGCCAGTGGGTGGAAAGTCTTGTGGATCCAGTGACAGTACAAGCATCTCAGTGCTGGTGGGGTGTCCATGTGGCTCCTCCAGCTCTGGGCTCTGGCTGCATCAGAGTAGCTCCATCAGGCTTGTGGTCAGTAATGTCTTGCAGAGAGTGAGTCTGTGTCCTGCCTCCAGTGAGCTATTTATCTCCATAGCGCCTCCAAATGAGGTCATTAAGTTGCCACCTGACTGACAGGCTAAACTCCACCCCTTCACTCTTTTAGGTCTCAGATTGACAACAGATTATGTAACTACCACAAGCATCAAAAAAAATAAAGACAGAACAGTCACCATGACCTTTGCTCCTGAACGGCCTGCTTTTGCTTTGACTGGACAAGAGACCACTTCCCCCTCTTGTTAGCCATTGCTCTGATTGTGTTTTATCTTCAGAATCACTTCAGTACATCTGAGAAATGCTTTAATCTCGATCCCACTTACTTAAAACATGCATGGAAAGAGTGGGTCTGGGCACACGGTTTTGGTAACTACCAAGTGAGAAATTTGTTCAACTTTAATTTTTAAGTCAGAGATGTGTAAGCTAAACCAATTGAGATGTCTATGGTGTTAGCTATAATTTCTGCTGTTAAGCTTTAGTCCTTTTCAGTTAGGGCATGACAATATTAACTCACCTGGAAAACGAATTATGATGGTCTGAATGGCTGGCTTCATTTTCAACATTGTCTTGTCCATTTTTAAAACAAGCTACCCATTTGCAAACTGCTGATTTCTTTGGGGCATGGTCCTAAACTTTTTACAACGTATCAGTGATTTCACGCATTCTTCCACCCAAGCTTCTCCATAAATTTGATGTTTGTTCTTGCTTCAATTTTAGCAGAATTCATGTTGCTCTGATATGAGCTCTTTTCAAACTGAGAGCCTTCTTAATGCCTCAAACTAGATCCTACTCAGACATCTACAAGATAAACCAGACCTTACAGGACAGGGTAGAAGTGTCCCCCTGTGGTTTCGAACTATGGAGCATTCAGACTGCAGCCAGTGCTTAAACCACTACACCACCAGGGTTAGTCTGAGTTCATTTTGATGCCCCCCCCCCAATTCTTTAAATCCATGCATAATTTTTTTTACATAATAGGCATTTTCCATGGGTTTTGAAGATGGTCGTCACTTGTAGATTATTTGTCTTTATGAATC